AAAAGACAGATTCTTTACCCATAAGAAGAATTAATAACTTAATTGTTATTGCACTGGCTACAATTCAGTAGTGGTTTTGGTTTTCATTTTGTGTAGCAAGGATGTCCTAGGGGACCAGAATAAAGCTGGCAAGGCATGAAGTGGGCAGGGAAGGAAAATAAGGGTTGGGGCAAAACTGAAAGTCAACAGTAAATATTGTTAAGCTTCCACATAGAATCTAAGAATACATCACTCCATTGAGTATCTGATGCGAATGCAAACGTGAAATAAGAATCGATTCACCCTCTTATGGGGGAGCCTGATCCAGCTAAAGTTGGCAGGGTTAGGGTCTCTCTCAAGGATTCCGGTGCAAAAGTGGGCGCAACGGGGCAAATTCAGTGGTTTCGGGACTGGGTTGTGGTTGGAGCAACAAGGGTTGGGTTCGTGGCGCTCAGCGCCTCCCGTTGACCTCCCTGGGGCCGTAGTCATGACTGGAATGGCTGGGTTGGCTTTCTGCAAAAATAGGTGCCCGATGGAGAGTTTCCCTGTGAATATTTCTGGGTGCGTGAGTGTGGCTGCGTGTGATGTGTGTTTTCTTCGCTTTTTAAAAATTTCTCAAATACATGATTTTCTATTTATAGTAACTGCTGATATACAGAACAATATACAACTCACTTCCTCCTGGTCACTTCCAATTCCTGTGACAACTTTTCGTGCAATAATAAAAGGTGCCCTTTCGAAAAAAGTCAGAAAAGATGTTTTTAAACCGATCGGTTGCCTTTAAAAAAGATAAAATAAAGGTCTGAAACCCAAATCAAGGTGTTCGAGGCCACGCTGGGTGAAGGGGAAGGGGAGAAAGAGGGAAGGAAAAGAAAAAATTGGAACAGCTTCTCCTTGTGCTGTGTAGAAAGGAAGTCCACTTCCTTCCTGTTACCCCTGAACCACTTGGGACGGCTTTGAAGACCAGCTTGAGCTTCTCTTGGACTTCGGTTCCTTTTAAAAACAACAGCAAGACCTTCACAGCGCTGAGAGAGAGAAAGAGCGAGGAGAACCAAGGGTTTGGGGGTAAGCATCAGCCGTGGAGAGGGTGGCTTTCCAACCTGTTCTCCTCTTCAAAGCCACGTGTGGTGGCAAAGCCCTTTGAGTTCGCCAAAGACCACCCCCCTTGGAAGCTATACTGGCTCGTCCACAACGTCTTCTGTGGTTGGGGTCGCTGGAACCAGTCCGTGCTGCGGGAGGGGACTCCGGGGCCCCCCGAGTTCTTCTCGGTTTGGTTCGGAGGGGTGGCAGGGGGTTTGCAAAGGGTCTGTTTTCTGCAGTTCCACCCCGACGGGCGGGGGGTCCGCAGAGGCCTCTGCAGCCGGGCGGCTCTCCGAGAGGCGTTCGCAGGGCTCGCTCGCGGAACGGGGGTCCGAGGGCTCGAAGGAGAAACTCGGGATGGTTAAATGCTCTCCTCGGCAGGCCGGTGGGGCCCAGCGGTCCGCCTTGCAGGCCAGTTCTCCTGGCTGGCTCTCGGCCAGCTCCGAGGAGTCCCTGTAAGCAGTGGATTCGCAGGACGGCGTCCTCCTCCTCAGCAGGCTGTTCTCAGAGGCTTTGGTGCGCGTCGAGGCGCTGCTTTCTTCCTCCATGGGAGGATCGATAGAGATGCACGGCGGGCTCATTTTTTTCTTCCTCCGGATGCCGTGGAGGTACTCGGACTCCGGCTGGATCTGGAGGGGCAGCCTCCTCCTTTCGGGCGCCTCTGCGCAGCCGCGGTCCCCGCGGTCGACCAAGGGGCAGATCTCAATGGAGTGCCGCCGCTGGTCGTCCGCCCACGTTGGCTTGGCCAAGAAACCCCGCGTGTCCACGCTGTAGAACTTCTTCAGGTCCTTCTCCTTGCCGTTCCCCGTCGTCAAGCTGGTTGTGCTGCAGTTCTTGAAGGGGACGGGCGATGGCGCCGGGGAGGCGAAAGGAGAGTCTGAGCAGTCCCTGCCACCCAGCCGTGCCCCCCAGTCCCTGGCAGAGCTATTGATGTGGCTGACCTCTTCGTCCGCCAGGTCGGAGGACTCAAAGAGGGGGCTGTCAGGGATGCTGCTGTGGCTGGTCCGCCTGCTGGAGGTGCTGTGCTGGCCGAAGGTGTGCCTGTGGGTGTGGATGCTTGAAGGATGGGGAGACGATGCGTGGGGAAGAGGAGGAGTGCCTGGAAGGGATGTGGGCGCTGGGTGAAGCAGAGGTGGCCCTAAGATGCTGTGAGACAGCTGCTTTTTCAGTGGTGGGTTTTCACGCACCTCAGCCTGGGCACCCAGCTTAGACTCCACATTTGAGCCGTCCAATGAGTCCCTTTGAACGGCCTCCTGCAATACAAAGAGGGGAGGAAAATAAGCATTTCCAGCCCAAGAAGGCCGTGCGCATCCAAGAATGGGTCCATGTTTCAAGAAGGTTTGGATTCATGGTCCTTTATTCTCTGTGGGCTCCTTCCTAAAGAGGGAGATGACATGGAGATCTCTGGCGCACATCAAGCACCGGTGGGAGAGTAGAAATTGAGCTGGACCTTCCCTGGGAAACGCCACTTTCGTGGAAGTTCCCTCCCAGCAACCTCTTACCAACCTCCAGGCAACTGCAGAGAAGCTGTTCCAACTCTCTGCCCCTTTGAATATGCAGACCTCTATCTGCAGGGGGTGAGAGTTTCATGGTGTTACCGTCTCCTCTGACTTGGAAGAGCCAGAGGCTGAGGGGCCTGATCCAGCAGTTCTGCCTCGGGGGCCAGGAAGCAGTCTACCGCCTGAGGCTCGGTTGACTCCGCAGGAGCAGGGTGGGAGTAAGTGAGGAGGGGACTGTTCCAGGCAGAGCACGTAGCCCGAGGAAGCATCAGGAGCATCTGAGAGCCAAGCGGAAGCAACTCCGACTCGTTTCATTTCTATCTCTGAACTTTGAGCGTCTTCCTGTGCTGTCTCTGCTCTACAGCCCAGGGCTCCCCTCGGCCTCCTGGCTTCCTGGCCCTGAAGACCTACCCCATCCCTGTCCATGGGGCATCCAGCCCCTTTCTGCCCCCCTGCCTGAGAGAATCCAAGACCAGGAAGGCTGACCTGTCTGCACAGCTGTCTGCTGAAACTGGGGATGCGAGGGGCAGGGTGAGGGGGTAGAAGCTTCCTTGGGGCTCCCATGCTGTGGCTAGGAGGGGGCGTTGCTGGACGGAAGGCCACCTGTGGTATCCTCAGAGATGAAGAAGTGACCACTGGCTGGGAACGGATTGACGTGACGGATCCTGGAAGAGCAAGGAAGGATGTTATTCCTCAGAAAAGGCTCTCTCTTTTTCATTCAGAGCTGAACAAAGGTCTGATCAGAGCTCCTCTTTTCCTCCGGTGTCCATTTTTGGCCTCCTCCTCCTCCTCCAGATAGGAGGTTCCCATCTCGCCAGACAGAACATGTGCACTTTGGTGGAAAACATCAAACTGTTATTTCCACAGTTTTTCTGCTCAAAACAATTGTATCCTCTTTTATCCTCAAAACCGATGCAGCCCTTGATGTACTTACTTTTGAAGTTCACACAGAATGCAACCAATGTTGGCTGGCAGAACTCAGCAGCGCCAAGTCCTAACGCCTTACCTCTGGGCGACTTGTAGGAGTAGGCTTCTAGCTCTGCTTCGTGGAGCGGGAAGGGAGGCTTGGCGGGCATCACGGGGCGGAACATGTAGCTGTCATTCGGTAACGAGTGCATCCTTGCCACCGAGATCTTGCGAAGCGTCAGAAGGTTCTGGGGCTCCCTGATGCCAACAGCGGCAGCAGCTCCCTGAAAGCCAGGGAGAAAAGAGGCTGGATTTAGGGGAAATTGGGAACCTGCAGCCCTTGAGCAGAGTTCAAGCCCTCTTCCCCGACTTGTAGCCCCTGAATGCATGGCAGATGTTGCATTAAGCAGTGGTTGTGCATGTATGTAGGTGGGTTGGACAATTGCTCTGTGGCACACCCAACATGAGACTCCCATTTCTGTTGATGGGGACACCACAGAACTACCAAGATTAAGGGGCTGCTAAGGTTATAGGGGGATAAGCAACAAACATCAAGCAGTCACATCTGGATTTTTAGCCCTGAGAACTGGTGGTGCACCTGCTTCCCTAGCCCACGCCTGTCCTAATGCTTCCCCAAACCCTCCTTTTTTCCTGCTAGCCTTAGTTTAAACTCCAGTCCCCCCTTCTACTTGGAGTGAAAGATGGGCAGCTTCAAAGCCACTAAGAACTGAACTTGGTTTTGTGAAGCTTCTCAAGGAGTTTCACCTACCCCTAAATCAATTTTTTTTCAGCTTTCAAAGCATATCCATTAGCTGAGAGAACCCCACATTTGCTCACTCCAACTGAATTCCTGTGAGAATTCAAGGGGGTCATTGTCAGTCATTGTCCACTTAAGGAGCCTCAAGAATTAGCCCCTCGGTTGCTCAAAAGTACAAACCAGGGCCCCAGGATAAAACTGCCCCATAAGGGAAGGTCTCCATTTCCCCCAAAGGTTAGGGGGAGAATTCCATGGAACAGTCACACACCCAGCGCATTGCTTTGTGGATCTGGGTGAGAACTTGGTTTCTTGAAACAACACAATGAACAAAGCCAGAAGCAGAGAAGTTGTAGCACACCAACTATGTGTTGGGGAAGGAGGACTAGTTATTGTGATTAGGAATGTGAAAATTGCAAAAAACCTGATTTTTAAAAAGTTTTTTCTTTGACGACCCTTTGAAATAGACATGTCCCTCTTTTGATATGACAATAATCGCTATTCTAATTAGATATTTCTAATTCTCAGTCTTGCCCAGGTTTAGTCGGGTCATTCTGCCCCTGATTTTCCTTCCTAGTTAATAACCATCTGCTTGGGACATGCCCTGGCTGTTCATCCACCATCTTCTGCAGCCTTCCAGGATATTGTTGGTGTCAGTTTCCCCCTGCCAATATCCCCTCCGCTTTCTCACTTGAAGCTAATTGAGCCTTGCCTTGCAGATGGGGACAACCAGAGGAGATTGGGGAGATTCCCACTCCTGGATGTTTTCAGAAGGGTTGAGTTGTACTTCATAACAAGCATATTTTCTCCTCTCCAGGGGATAAGGAGGCCAAGAAGAGGATGCAAGGAGCAAACTGTTGTGAGACGTGGGTATAGTCTGCTAAAGGATCCAAGTATAATTTGCAGGAGGTGGAGAACATGGGATGAGGAACATCCCTGTCTGTTGAAGTGCAAGAAAGTTGGGGCAATCAAATGCAAGGATCTTCTCCCAACGTCTTTCATTTTGCTATGCAGCGTGCTCCTGTTAGATGCTCTGGTGGCTGCAGGTCCGTTCCTTTAAGGGGATGAGGTCAACTCTTGCAGAAGAAGAGAAGTCCTGGGTTGAAGCTATTTTTAAGCTGCTCAGAATTCTGGTGGCAGGTGAAATATGAACAGGCCAAGATGAACCCTAGCAGTAGCAGCATCTTGGGGTTCAGAGGCAGTTTTGCTCTGCAAGCCAGTGGCAGAGCAGAATGCTAGCAGATGTGCCAAGGAGCAGTGGCAATAATGCACTCATTTTGGGCGTCATAAGGAGCCTTTGGAGTGACTTGGCAGTGAAAGTGCCACTGAAGCTTGCAGCAGTAAAGGAAAGTTATTATACATCATCTGCCTGCAATTGAGGTCTGGTCCTGAGGGCTTACAAGTGTATGTAAATGGGGAGGGCGAGAGAAGTAGAAATGATATTGGACGCGAAAAGGGTTTCTGCCTCTGGTGCTTTATGCGGGTGTCCGGGGAGGCGAATACAGCACCTGATAACATTGTTCAGGCCAGACAAAACCTTTTCCAGACTGTGCATAATTAAGCCATCAAAGTCATTAATGCAAGGTTAGTCATGTCCATTGGCCTGGATGCCTTCTGGGGTCTGGAGATGCTTAGAAGGCAGGAAGAGAGCCAAGGAAGTGGGGGGCTTCTTCGTGCCTGCAAGGGGAATGGGGGCAAGGCTGCGGGGACCTGTGCTCCCCACTGCTGGTTAGGAGCCGAAACTAAACATCAGCTATACCCCTGCGTATGCTTCCTCAAATGTCAGCCCCGCCACTTTGCATTTAATTCAAGAGAAGCCTCTCAGGGTGAGGTGTGAATATGAACGCTCCGTACTTCTTTCAAAAATATGAGATGGGGTCACAGGTGCTGCCCCCCAAAACCACTTCTCCTTTTCATCTGCCACTTTCATCATCATCTTCCTGAGGTCCCAGGGTCTACAAGTGAGTCTTCTATGAATTCTTAGTTTTGCTCACTCTTACATCAAGGGTCAGACAAGCAAGCTGCCATCAACACCGAAGGCCAGCCTTCCCCAACCTGCTGCCTACCCCACCTCTCTGCCTGGGAAATCTGGGAACTGTAGTTTGGTGAGGCTGCTGGAGACCCTTGGTGGCTTGGAGGACTCTCCTGGCAAGAGTTTGAGAGAAGAGGCTGGCAATGAAACCTGGGGAGGGGGCAGGACAAATGGTGCCACACGGATGACGCCACCGCTTAGCTGCACATCACGGAAGCGAGATGGGGGAAGGACGCAGAAGCCACGGCACGTCACCTCCTCGGCTTCTCCACTCGGGGGATTGTGGGAGGGAGTCGGGAGATGGCGGTGAGGAGAAGAGTGGAAGGACGTGAGCTTCGCCAAGGAATCTTCCCCGCCCTCCAGCAGGTCAAAGTCAGGCATGCTTAGAGACCACGGAGTCTCCTTCAGGGATGAAATGGAGGAGACAAAATTGCATCAGTGGGTGGAAGCAAAATACTTCCTAGGATCTGCCCCAAAGCTGCCGGGGGCCGGTTCAAGAAAGGGGTCTGCGGGCTCCATGCAAAGAGCTGCAGAAACAAGGCGAACCACGCCAAGCTCCAGCAGAACAGGCTGGGGGTTAGAGTGTCTGCTCCATTGTTCATCAGTGGTAGCATTTCTACCCCTCCCAAAAAGAGTGGCTAGTGTGAGATCAGTGCCCGCCTGCAGACTGAGTCTGAAAGGAAAGGAGCAAAACCAGGCCCCACTTATTACACCAGCCCTCCCACTGCTGTGTCCTGGATCTGCCTCTCCCCCCATATGTTGGACACCTGGATACGCTCCCCCCCACCCCCAGTGCTCCATGGACGGCAGGAGCTGATGCCATGAAGAGCGCGCTGGCAGGGTGGCCAGCAAAACACTTTTCTGGATGAGTGAAATTGCAGAAAGGTTCTTTAGCTCGACTTGATTAAAACTCAGCAGGTTCCCAAGGAGAGCACACAGACATGATCCCAAAGAGGCCCATCCCCCTTCTTTTTCAGGCCTGGGGAAGGAGGCCTTTTCAGCCCTAGCTTTTTACCATGGCTTGATGCTTCATCAGCAGGGGTGACCCCCCCTTGGACGGGGTCTGTCTCCCATCCAGGGTTCTTTCAGGTGTGCTGACCCCTCTGGACATCTCCAGCTCAATTTCAGCGTCCATCTCAGCATCCTCCTTCGCCTCTTTGTTGCTCTCCTCTAAGTGCTTCATCAGGACGGCCACCACGACGTTCACCAGGACGAACTGGGCGATGAGGACGAAGGTGACGAAGTAAACAGGGGAGATGACAGGCAGGTAGCTGAGGCAATGCTTGTCATCCCGGTGGCACTCCCGAAGAGTGTCCTGGAAGAGGGACATCAGAGCAAGCTTACTTCAGGTGGCCGGGTCAACTGGGGAGAAATCTCAATGTCCTCCCAAGGTTTCTCCCAAGTATTTGGCATTGAGAGATCAACAAACACCGAGTTTCACTGAGCAACAATGGAACTAAAAGCCAGTCTGTCCTGCAGTGGCCAACCAGCTCTCTCTGAGAGCTAATATGGGTGAAATGGGTGCAAAGGCTTTCCCCAAACTCATAGCAACTTCAGTGCCATCTCTATGGACTTATGGCCAATGGTGAGTGGCCAATCTCCTATATGGATTTCTCTAATCCCCTTTCAAGGTATGCAAACGTGTGGCCATCATTAAAAGTGGAGACCAGAGGTTCCACAGGTTAATTCTACCTTTCTTTTCCTCAAAATTGGCTCGCCTGTTGATTTCACCAAGTCACCACCAAGAAGATGTTGATGAGGGACGATTTTTCCTTCTCCCAATGATACATATTTTTTATGCATCACTTTGGCGTATGTCTTCCCTATTCTGGTCTTGGCTGGCTTTTATTCTAGGCAAATAATACATGAAACTGAGGGAGCACAGTGGTCTTGAGTCTTCTGTCCCTGCTTGGGCATGGTTGGACATGAATGCCGTAGTCAATCCAAACTATATCTCAGAGTGACGTCTAAAGTCAACCCAAAGTACAGCCATGGGTAAGCAAGCTGTGTTGGGACAGGGATGTGGAGGCCTTACCTTCATGATCCCATTCCAGTTGTCCCCAGTTGATACCCTAAAGAGGGTGAGGAAGGCCATCCCGAAGTTGTTGAAAGTAGCATGCCGGCTTAGGCCTTCACAAGGATTTTCCTCACTGCAGTCTACAAATGTGCAAGGAAGAGTCCACTCTTAATTACAAGCTTGGAGCAAGCCAAGGATGGCTTGGAGAACCTTAACAAATGGGCTACCTAAGTGTTCCATCATCTGACCCCCAACAGCCCATCACTTTCCAAAGAGTCCTATAAAATTCTGTTTTCTGAATAACACCTTGCCGTTTCTTCTTCATTTGCTTCCCTGGAATTGAGTCTGACCTTCCCCTGCTTCTCTGGAGCTACCCACCAGCCTCTGGCATCCCCCTTGCCTTCAGTCTTGGGACAGGGCAACCTGGTCACTGGTGGGGAACTTAGTTGAGCTGGACAATGGAGAGGCTGGGTTTCCCTCCTCATCTTATGCAAGCCGTTGGAACCTTTGGCTAGGACCTTCCCTTTCATTGGGCACATGGCATTCTCTGGGAAGTCTGGCTGGCATATCAACAGGGTCACCAAGCAACAGAAAAAGGAGAAGATGAGGATGACTCACCTAACTTCCCAAATAATTCCACCCCCAGGGCAGCGTAGATGAAAAAAAGGAGCATAAATAGCAGACCGAGGTTCCCCACCTAGAAAAGGAGATTGTCAAACAAAGTCAGAGGCAAGATGAGATCATAGTAGGATTTCTATCTTGGTTAGGTGGGATTTTCTGCCTTACCAAGAACTAATGCAGCCTTCCGCAACCTGGTATCCCCTGGGTAGCTAGGGGTGATGGGCAATGTCACAGTCAAACATGCCTGGAGGACAACAGTCTACAGGGGGAATGAAGGTGTCTTTCCATCTTGCACCCAACATTTGTGAAACTGGGCTGGGTCTACAAAGAAGGAACTTTGCCCACTGGGCATTTTCTGAGGGTTAGACATTGGCATTGATCTGTTCCAGTCAGCTGATGGAGTACTCCAGCTTGGCTGCAGCACCAAAGGGTATTCCCAGAGCTTAGGATGGCAAAGTGAGCCCTGGAGAAGTTGGTGTAAAGTGCTGAGGGCAGATGGGGGGGGGGACCCCTTCCATGGGTTCTTCCTAATGCAGCG